AGGTTCAAGGTTTAGGGTTTAGGGTTTAAGGTTTAGGGTTCAGGTTTTAGGGTTTAGGGTTAAGGGTTTAAGGTTTAAGGTTCAAGGTTTAGGGTTTAGGGTTCAGGTTTTAGGGTTCAGGGTTTTGGGTCTAGGGTTCAGGGTTTAAGGTTGAGGGTTTAGGGTTTAAGGCTTAGGGTTCAGGCTTTAAGGTTTAGGGTTTAGGGTTTCAAGGTGTTTGGGGACAGCAGACGCAGACCCCACAATGTAGTATTTTTTGGGGTGGCCTTGTTTCGTGATTACAGGAGCCTACCCAGAAAAATGATCGGTATCCAACAAGAGGTACTACGTTCCAGAGTCTATGTATTGTCTCGGGTTCTACGGGTTGAAACCAGTATAGAATATATCATATATCCCCCTTCGAGAGTTTATGTTCGGTTGCTTGTTTCGGGGTTGCGGGTTTAGGCGTCGCAGCTAGTCAATGCTTGTTTCTTGGAGCTGTTTAGTGTTATTGTTTCGACTGGGTGTGCCGCTCTTTAGGGTTTAAGGTTAGATCCTTAGGATTAAACCCTTAACCGACGTATCTTACAGAAACCCGACTAGGATTTTGTTTGAAGCTTCATCTTACACTAACTTACTCTACTCAAACCCTAATCCATTCCCGTAGATCAACACGATGTATAACAGTGTCTCTTGCATTATGACCCCTCGAAAGTTGGTGGTAAAATGGCTTCCAGGTATAGCGGAGTCACAAAACCTCACCCGAAACCCTAAACCCTAAACCGTAAACCGAAACCCTAAGCCCTAAACCCTAAACCGCAACCCTGAGCCTCTCGGCCGCCAAGCCTCCCGAACCCTAAACTTTAAACCACTAAGCCCTTACAGGGTTTAGGGTTTAGGGTTTAGGGCTTGGGGTTTAGGGTTTAGGGTTTAGGGCTAGAGCTCCAAGCCCCTGAACCCGTAGTCTAAGGTTAGAAGTATGGGCCCCTAATATGAACCCTTAGGCCTTTCTAGGGACCCTGAAGGGTACATATAGGGTATATAGTAGGTATACAAGGATCCCAGGGTTAGGGACCCAAACTGGGGGCCCATGGTTTCAGCCTCAGACTTAGAGAGCTACCCTAAACCCTGAACCCTAAACTCTAAACCCTAAACCCTGAAAAAAGGGGACCCTAATGTAGAGAACTACCCAAATTGAGGAAATTCCGGCCATCTTGCCCGAGCTTCTGAACTACGTGCGTGCCTGGCCATCTCAGTTAGGGCTTACGGGGTTTGAAAGGTTTAGGGTTTATAGGTTTGGGGTTTAGGGGTTTAGGGGTTTAGGGTTCAGGGTTGAGGGTTTAGGTGTGAGGCCTGGTGTGGGGGTTGCGGGTTTGAAGGTTGCTGTACGTAGGGTGCTTGCTGTTCTTAAACACAGGTTCTGGATTCTGGAAGATAGGGGCTGTTTTAGGGGCATTGCAGGGTTCTCCAGCTTTTGACTACAAAAAGCAAAATGGGCTTTATGGGACTTTAGAAGGGGGTTTATAGGGCTGTGGGGCTTCAGGGGTTGAGTGGTCTGAGTCTCATTGCTTTTCGGGGTTCTTTTTGACCTTGTATGCCTGGGTGTCTTGCTGAGGGTAGCAGACTAATTTGTGCTTACAGCTCCGAGGGTGTTTTTTATTAGATTTGGGGTTAGGGCTTAGCGGGCTCACCATATCCCTTTGGTTGTGCTGGCAGGTGCAGCTTCTATGGCTGCCTGGTGGTTCATGCGGCAACAAAACCTCGGGGTAACAAAACCTCGGGGTCCGACTACAGGCCAAGGAACTCCTAGCCCCAGCTCACTCCGGAGTCCTAAGCTCTCATCAACATAGATCCCAACCGAAACCCGAAGCCCTCAGCCCCAAGCCTAGGTGTTTCGCAAAGCTTTAGAAAGCTTAGGCCTTGGAGCAAGCCAGTTTAGCCCCACTTGTGCTCTGAACCTTCGCGCGCCCGGGCGGCCACAAGCACCCAAGAGCCTCCATAAGCCCGATTCCCAACCGATTGACGCTAAACCCTAAACTCTAAACCCTAAACCCTCGAGACTCCTAAGGAATGATCTGGTCCATCTCCACCCACTACCAGAAGGAGGATCGAATTTCGGGTCTCCTCCGAAAGATGAGCCACTCGACGGGTGAGGATTTAGGGTTGAAGGAGGATTAGGCCCACCTATATGGGGTATACTTGCCCAAACCATAACAGTAATTCCCATTATAGAAACCCTACATGCTACTATAGAATAGGTACTTAGGACCCTTTGGAAGGGTTTACGGGCGGGCGGCAGGTCCCACTTCCTACGTGAAGTGTGTTTGGGACTTAGAGTGTGCCAGTAGGTCCAGGGGCCCCGGAAACACAAGAGCAATCCTAAGCCCGTAATGTAGGGTCCTTAATAATTAGAATTGGATTTTGGGGTCCTTAATCGTAAAATTATAATAAGGAACCCCCCAAAATAGTATCGGGAATTATTGAGGTCCCTATATTAGGCGTAAGAGAGCACAAGGCAACGAGATCATCAAGCGCTGCCAAGCGACGATTGACCTTTCCGACATCTTCGCTGGCAAGGTGGAGACGTCGATGGTGAAGCTCCAGCTGCTCGGATGGCGCTTCTATCTTTGAGATTTCTCTCTTCGAGGGGTTCGGTTCGGGTTTATTGTAGATATAGGCTCCGAGGAGCCACAGCTTATGGTTTGAACAATCACAAAAGCACACTTGTTCTAACTATAGCAGAAGCCAACAATAGAACATCATTCTCCTCATGCCCTTAAGGTAAAGTATAGGGGGTCCTAGCAACAATCCTCCTAAACCCATGTTCCAACTTTCTGGGGTTCACTGTATCCAACGGGAGGGCGTTATGGTAGTTCCTGAAGGACTCTGGAGGTTCTAAAACAGGACATACTATTCGAGTTCCTGTATAAGTAACTTTCATGGATTATCCCTCTTGTGCTGTGAAACAAACGGCTTACTAAGCCCTCTAAGCCTTCACTCAATTATAAGGGTGCCATGTTAGACATTAGAAGCAGGTTGATGCATCTGGACTCAGATGCTATGTTGGTAACAACAACTCGAAAGTGCAACATCCTCAAGTTGATATATTGAGCCCTGCATAGTGATCTGATGAGCTCAGGCAGTGCATCGACTGCGGGCGCGAGTGGAAGAGGGCCTATCAGAAGACGGCGTCTTGTCTACAGCTCTCAGATTCAGAAGATCCAAGCCAGCAGGTATTGAATCGGTAGCGCGTTCCTTGTAAGGTTTACCGGTTTACCGACCTGTTTCGAGGTGTTTTCGCCGTCCCTTCAGCACTGTAGTGACTGTATTGTAGCAATCCATTCTGCAGGGAACTGGGTTTGAAGGGCTAGGCTAGGTAGTTTCGGGTTGAGTTTACAGGGCTTGTTGTGAGTATCAAACTAGATTAGACGGTTTTCATACAGAATATATTCTCCTTTGGTCCTCATTCGACCTGAACGGTTGTGTAAGGGTTCAGAGGTTCAGGTTTAGGATTTATCGTGAGAGTGTCTAGACTTTACGATTCATTTTGCCATTTTAGGGTTCACGGTTTCAACTGCAACGTGCAATTCATGAAGCTCGTAGTCCCGAAGAAGACCGGACGTAAGGGTTGCACAACTTGCTGAAGACCTTTAGGGTTTAGGGTTTAGGGGTTTAGGGTTTATGGTTTCTTTGGCTTTACCCTGGTTCAAGAAGGAGAAATGTACCGGGTTTAGATCCTGTGGGTGATTTCACACATTTGAAGCCCTTAAGGCCAGGAAGCCTGTAGAGCTTTTGAGAGTTAGCGTCCTCTACACATGCCGGAAGTCCTAGATCCCTTTAGGGTTTAGGGTTTAGGGTTAGTCCGAAACATTGAATGAAACCCGAAACGGACACGCTTGCACCCCAGCGCCCACCTTTACACTTCGACCCCCAAGTAGTGGTAACCTATATCCTGGCCACTGTGAAGGAAGCGGTCCTTGGATGTAATCCTTGATGGCTTTTGTGCTTGAGGTGCGGCTCCTGTCCAAGAACACCGACAGACCCTGGACGTTCCCAGCACCTTGTTGCAGTGTGGGGGGCGGGGTTGCTGCCTTTCGGCATCTGCCATCATGGAGTTGGGGCCCAAGAAAGCCATTCCAAGTGTGCCCTCTGAAATTGCTAGTTATGAGGAAACTGTTTGATATAGAGTCGCCTGCTTTTTTGGCGCTCACTGCCCTCGGGTTTCTGGTTGGCTGCTCTGCCAACGGGGTTCGATGGCTTGGCTTGCCTACCGCTGTTACTTGAAGGGTCAGTATGTGAGCGTGTTGTATCTAGGGTAGCCGCCAGGTGGGGTTATTGTAACCCCGTTTTTGCTATGATCCTCAAGTATGCCTTGCTTCTTAAACCCTAACTCCTATACAGACCCAGCACCCTTGCATTTAGATGTTAAAAGGCCTAAAGTAGAGCCAACATTGGGCCAAAACTGTACACAAGGAAGGCAGCATCTTTCTGCAGATCGATGCCTTCGTCCAGCGCTGCTGCGATCTCCTTGAAGTGTCGGCTGGTCGCACAGTTCGACAGTTCGGGATCAGGGTGGCTAACAAGACAGACAAAATGCAACCTCGATATGGATTCAGCAGGCGTTGGGGGGATTGTGCTGGGTGTTATCGTCACTGATGCCTACGCGGACGAAGATGATGACGGCTATCAGGCTCAGACGATAGGGATGATGAGGATCATAAACATGATGATGCTGGTGGTGAGGATGATGGTGAGAATCGTGGAGATGACGTCCGGATCTTCCCAAATGCTTGTCGCGCGCCGCCCCGCCAAGGTGCCAGGGGCTGCAGCAGTTCGCATGTCGTCACTTGGCATCTCTTTGAGAGACGTAGGTGCTTTTGCGAGAGCTGCAGCAGCCTGGGATTGCCGTAGGGCTTCATATAACTACATAGCTTATAGTTAGGCTTCTGCAAGAACTGGGTTGTTACATATTTGCAAAGCATTGAAGTCCAAGCTTTCTATTCCGTGCTGCTCGGGGCTGCTTGCTGTGAGGTAGAGGCTTGTGGGCCTAGGCCTTCCAAAGAAGCTGCAGGGTATGTGAACTCAACCCGCGATACTAAGCTAGCATCCGCTGGTGTATCATCATGCTTACAGTCGTGACTGCCATGGTGCTTGGTCGTTTAGGTACTGTCACCATCTACGTCTTGAGATCAAAGCCTGCTCTTCAAAATGCGTTTAATGCAGACTGAGCTACTGAAAACCAGTGCTCTTGAGGTTCCATTTATGAGTCTCAGCCTTCCGACTCAGCTTATTAGAACGAGTCTTTAAAACAACAAACACTTGAACACCCGTAATGGCAGCCTGAAACCTAAACCCTAAACCCTAAACCCCTAAACCCCTAAGCCCGAAACCTAGAAAACTTCTTGGCCAAGGATTTCGTGGTCAGGCCATGCCAGCCTTCGGCGGTACAAAAGCAGGCCTCTCGCAGAGCTTGTTGTGGATTTTAGACTTTATAGGGCTTATAGGGTTTAGGGTTTAAGGTTTAGGGTTTAAGGTTTAGGGTTTAGGGTTTAGGGTTCAGGGGTGTTGAAGGGTTTAATCTTCAACGGCTGCACAGGGGTTTTCCTAGGTAGTCCTTCATCACTTTATCACGTTACCAAGTTGGCCTGAGAGTTCGCCCTGCCCGACTGCTTCGCCAAGGTGTTCTGGATTTGGACTCTCCCCGGTATTCGGGACAAAACTTGTTTCGGACCAGAGATAAACTGCTGCGTTCGAGATGTTGCCTCTAGAGAATTGAATTGATGAAGCTTGTGCCTCTGGCTGCTCTCTCTGTGCTGCTAGGTCGCAGGAAAAGCTAAGCGGCAAAGCACCTCAATCTGAGCCTGGGTGCGAACAGAGCCAGCAGTAACACTGCTGGTTGTCATATTCTAGAAACTTGAATGCTTCCCCCAGCCTTCTAGTGATTTCGTCGTCGACATGCTAGAACTCAGTTAAGCAAACAGACTTGACACTCTAAGCTGTACACACTGCCTCAGGCGAGATCAGCAATTCTATCTACGAGATCGAGGACAACTTCCTCAAGAACTTATCGCGCCTTCAGTTTCCACATGTAGACTACGACATCCTGGATGTTCGTGCGCCCAAGTGGTCGGCGCCCTACTCGCGGGGCTGTTCTCACAAGACCTTACCCCCACTAAGGCCTGCAAGCTTAAGGCTCTCAAGCCCTTAACCTCAAGCCGTGAAGCCCCTGCGTCCTGCCCTTTGGCTCTGAAGTATAAACACACGAGAGCTTTACCCAAGGCCCAAGGCCTAAGACCATGAGTCGAAACACCTTCGACCATCCAGCTGCAAAGTCCAGACCAAGATGCGCTGGAAGACTGGAACAGGTACTTGCGCACTATTCCTCACACTGTCACTGCCCAACGCATCCCACCAAAGTTACTCTGGAACCCCACTGCCCAGCTTCACTTACCCTGGATCGCTTAACTTTTGAACTACATTCCCGCATTTCAATAGGGGGCTCCCTTGAATACCCTGGTTTCCCCAAGCTCGGGAACCGTAGACTCCCACTACTCTAAACCATTCAGCTTCCCATTTCTCGGAGCTATAGCGTCCACACCTGCAACAAGCTGTGTCTCCTGGAGGGTATCTTTGGGCTGTCATGGTTTAGGGTTCAGGGCTTCAGAATGGCTAGTACCCTGGCTGAACGCCAAAGAACTGACCTTTTTCGGGTTCCTTATTATGATTTCCGTTTATAAGTCTTCCGAAAGGTTGGTTGCAGAGGGTTTCAGGTCAACCCGTCGTCAGATTGCCCCCTGCTGAATCATCCAAGGCCAGACCATTTCGGGGCCTTCAAGAACCAGATGAGAGATTTGGAGGCCTCAAGCGATTTCAGCCTGTGTAGCCACTGTCCAGGAGCTTCTTGTGACTTGATTGGTCTACAGTCACCGTGTGGAATGAGTGCTGGGCAAAGACTGTCAAACCTCTCGCCAAGCACTCTCTCGTTACATCGAAGAGTCCGGTCGTTGTGCATGCCCTTCGTGTTGACGTCGAGGTAGCTTTCGCGCGCCACCATATCTTTTGCAGGAGGTTCAGGTTCAGGCATGATTGCAACATGTTCTCCGACGGGGCCACAGGCCAAGCGCACGGTCTTCGCGATGCATAGGTCTTGACCGCTCTGACTGGAGCTACGAGCTTCCGGATGCCGTTTTAAATCTCGCCAGCTGGGTCAAGTAGAATGTTTGGAATGCTGGGATCTTCTTCATAAAGGGTGGAAAGAACGTTGGAGGGACGGTGGGTGAGGTTCGGGTTACGGCGGATAGTTTCGCATATGAATACCAGGCTTGCCATTGCCTGTCTCGAGTAAAGCGGGCAGCCTCACCCCATAACACAAGACACAGAATCAGTGTTCCTCGAGCTCTGTCGCCTGTGCAGGTGATGTACATGAACGCCCCTTGGTGAGAATCTGGATTGATATGCGCCAGTCCGTTTTTGCAGGCTTAGACCCTGACTTGCTGGGTTTGACCGTTGGTATGACCTTTGGCTGTTAGGTGTCGCAGGGGCGGTTGAAGCCGGGTACAGTACACGAGCCCAATGCTTGGAGGTGCCGTTTCCTGCGTCTGAGCTCAGCCAATGGGCCTCAGATGCTGCTGGAAAGCACCGAAGTGACAAAGTGAGACTCCGAGAATCCTAAACCCTAAAAAATAAACCCTGAACCCTCAACCCCAACACGGCGGTTTCCCGAAATGTTTCAACTGAGCAGCCTTTCCCGGAGCTGCTTGTCGTTGCGGTTTTAGCGATGCCAGCCGGCTAGACTCTACACACATCCGTGTTGCTAGCAATCTCACGGTACATTCGCTCTTATGTCAGCAAAAAAAAGGGGCAAACAAATGTATTCCTACCAGCAGAGGCCGTTGCATATCGCAAGGGCTGACTTGCCGCCTTACATGAATGCCCATCATAGCATCGAACTCCCTAGGCACTGTGCTCAGCGTTCTTCCGAGGTCATCAACAGTGCTTTCGAAGGTGTGGGGACTGTGCAGACCCTTGGATGCACACACGCACACACACTCCGAGCGCAGTCTACGTTCAGCGAGCTTATTCTGTCATTCTTGTGGGATGCATGCTGGTGGGTGTGTGTGTGTGTGTGCATGCTTCTGTGCGTCTCGAAGTGCATTTGCGTCATTCCCCGCAGCATCTCGGATAATATCGTACGGCAGAGAGTAGCTGTTGTGTAAATCAGGCCTTCTACAGCTTAGCAGGTTTGGAGGTTGGCACGTCCACGTGTCAGACAGTTTTATAGAAACTCGCAAGTTAGCCCCCTCGAGGCATGGCTGCAGCTTTGCTCTTTGTGCGAGATCCCAACTCATGTTGCGCCGGTGATCAGGGGCCGTGGAATTCTTGTGTCGTCTTTGCACTTTGCGGAGCCCTGAAGTCACAGATTGATGAGCTGGATATTCAAGGCCTGCAGATGTCATCTGTGCAGAAGATGGCCGAGCGTGTGATTAGCCTGGCCTGATTGCAAGAATCAGAACGGTCAGGAACTTGTGGTTCATGGTACGACGGTGGAGCATTTGGTGGAGAAGTTAAACCAACGCATGGCGGCGAAAGAGCTAATCTGGTTGACAGACTGTCACAAGCATCTTACTTTTCAAATTACCCTCGAACGGTATGATGACCTGGAATCCTTTTTGATTGCTTTGAAGGGAAACCAGACTTATGGGCTTGTGGTCGGAGAAAGGAAACAGCCTGGCGAGCACAGCCTGCACGCTATGCAGGTTTCGCAGGCTTTACTTGGAAGAGTTGTCGTGGATAACAGTTGGGGCAACAGCAGGCGAAGCATCGAAGTCCCTGGTGACATCTTCGGCTTCAGATATGGGTATAGAACGAGCTTGGTAGACATACATGTGCGTGTTGCACCAGACAACGTTTGGCTAAAGGTCCCGGACCGCCCGAAGAACGAGCAGTTTCGGGTGCTAGCCCTCAACAGCAGTGGTGGCCTACTCTCAAGGTTATGGTATATGATCACGGGTCATGCCATGTGAAATGCCCACATTGCCGGCGAGACAATTTTTACAGGAACGCTGACTACAAGGATGGTATTTTTACAGGAACGCTGACTACAAGGATGGTGTTGCGATCACCTGCGCCTACGACTCGTGCAAGAAGAGGTTTCAGACTGTACATTGTCCGCATTGTCAGGGATGCCATTTTTGGACGAACGCTGACTACAAGCAAGGTTTGGTGATCACGTGCATTTACGACTCGTGCAAGAAGAGGTTTCAGAGTGTAAACTGTCCGCATTGTCAGGGATTCTTGTGTTGGAAGAACGCTGACTTCAAGCAAGATTCGGTGATCACGTGCACTTACGACTCGTGCAAGAAGAGCTTTCAGGCTGTAAACTGTCCGCATTGTCAGGGATGCAATATGTGGCCGAACGCTGACTACAAGGCTGGTGTTGCGATCACCTGCGCCCACGACTTGTGCAAGAAGATGTTTCAGACAGCAACTTGTGAATAATTCCGACTACAAGCTTGGTTCGTTGGTCACCTACGACTTACGACTCTTGCAAGAAGCAATTTGCGACAGGAAATTGTCCGCTTATGTAAATGGGGCGAGGATGCTGACTACACCGCCTGTAGGAAGGCCTGGCGCAGATGTGTGTGTGTGTGTCTTCATCTTTTGCGGCAAGCAAGAAGAGTTTCGGGTCTATCATGGGAAGCCAGTCTTCGCAGCAAAGACCGAAGCCAAAATCGGTGCCCTCTGGTCCATGGTCTCCAAGTGACCTGGTCGTTTTTCTCCAAGAGTGAAGTGGGTAATCGCCAGCTGACATGCTACAGGAAGGCTGCAGACAATGTAAGTCGACCGTTGCGTAATTCAGGAGTTTGGAGGCAGGTTCTCAAGTCTAGATACATTGCTAGACGCTCCCCCCACTCAGCGAGCATGATATCAGTTCTCAGTATGAACTGCAATGTTGCTTTGTACAACATGAGCAACTAAACTCCAACCTGTTACAGCGCTGTATTCTTATTGCCCGGTCTCTGCAATCTGCAGTTGCAAGTTTGTACCTACCTACCTACCTACCTACCTACCTACCTACCTACATGCATGCATACATGCATACATGCATACCTGCATACATGCATACATGCATACATGCATACATGCATACATGTGTACATGCATACATGCATACATGCATACATGCATGCATGCATACATGCATGCATGCATGCATGCATGCATGCACACGTATTTCATACATCCATACACCTACTCTCTCTCTCTCTCTATATATATATATATATGTGAATATGTCTCTCTCCCTCTGTCTTTGCAGTCGTTGCAGGTTGTGTCGTGCAGTCGGGGTCACTGACTGGGGAATGTATGCACCGAGGACCGCCTGCCAGGTTCTCGACAGCTTCTACCAACTCGCGAAGAGGGAGCGTCGGGAGCTCAGAGAAGAGTCTTCGATTGTAAATTGTAATTACAACTTGCTAACAGGTTTTTGTGAGTCCTAAACCTCAGAGTAGGACCTAAATACTACAGCCAGTGCGATTGCTAGTCAGGTGCAACTTCGCCAAGACACCAAATCGGCACACGCTAAATTATACTTCGCGGGTGTTTGCATACTCACCAACCGCACAGCAGAAGCACGCACTTCGATCAGTGCAGTCCTGGGAGCTCTGCTTGCTCTATACCTCAGTTTGATTTCTGGTACCGTGGCGTCTGATACTGGTACACAGTTTTGGGCAATGGCCGGGCGTGCCTTCTTCACTTACCTCATGCCCAGTTCAGATTTTCCGTTATCCTTACGCCACTGCCCAAAGTGGCAATACTGGTTGCAAGATACTACAAACCGTAAAACCGTTAACCGGTGAACCAGAAGCTCTGGTCTAAACTAACCATACGGACCCACAATACAGCGAAATTCTTTGCCACTTCCGCCCACCACGAAGTTCAGCAGATGCAGACAGCCGCAACCCTGAACCCCCTCAAGTTCCTCAAATGAATGGAAACTCCGAGGTGTCAAAGCATTTGTGGAGAAGAAAGGCGAGACCTTGTACAATGTCTTCCTCAATGTGCCTCGGCTGCCTTGTGTCATGCGCTGCTCGCGCGCTTTAGCATGCAGAAAAATGGGGATGAGCAGGTCACCACGTCCCAGGTTGCTTTGTTGAGGGGTGCGCATGTCTCGCAACCCTGTTAGACAGGTCTGATTTTTCGATCGTGGCGTTTGGCCTGCAGGAAGCAGTTCGGGCTTGGATATGACCCCGACCTGAGTCGGGAATGAGGAGTGAAGTACCATAGTGTGACTTCATACCCAGCGAAGTGATCGCTGTGAGAGCATAGAAAACAAATTGCATGGGCGTCCAGTTTCAAACTGCAGCACGAGGGAATTGAAGAATAATCCTAGCTTGCTGTTTCATTCACAATTATGACCGGAGCGTCGACACGATCTGCTCCATATTCATGCTGTGCAATTGTCGGCAAAAAATCCCGCTCCCCAGGTTTAGCTTGGCCTGCTGTATCGAGAGCTGTACTGCACCGCTTGTTAAGTCCAAAAACCCTTCGTTTGTTTTGCGATTCGGGTCCAAGCATGAGTTCACAAGGACTGTTTCGGTTTCCGGTGCTGGATTTGCCTTCCTTCGAGCCCTGAACCGACCCAGGAATTGAACCACAACATCAAGAGGGAGTTCGACCAATTCAGGACGCCTCTGCCGCCGTTTCGCTTGTCGGCATCCTTCTTCTGTGCTGTCCGTTGCCTTTTATACAGACCTAGGGGCTGCACAAACCGAATTCGAACGTTGCAAACCCAGACAAACCCAGACTAGATTGCGTCCACGCTCCTGCGATTCCGTTTGATTACAGCAGCAACAGCGTTGCAAGTAGTTGAGCCCTGCGTGGCTCCAGGCCCCAATCCCGAAGGATCCATGTGCCCAAACATTATTCACTTCGACCTTAAAGTAGTTCCCGTATGGGTACTTTGGGGCCAATGTATATACTATATTGGAACCATAAACTCCCTAAACCCTACCCTAACCCCTAAACCCTAGACGCTAAAGCTCTAAACCCTAAAGGAAACCAACTCAGCTGACTGCCCGTTCCAGGAAGGCGCCGCCTCTGCCGGTGTTGCAGGGCCATCCGAACTTTGCAGGGGCTGCCGGGAATCCCGGATTAGGGTTTAGGGTTTAGGGGTTTAGGGGTTTGGGCTTAGGGTTTAGAGTTAAGGGGTTTGGGTTCGGGTTTATTGGTTAGGGGTTAGGGTTTCGTTTTTTGTTGATCGGGTTCAAGAAGTTTGTAATGTGATCAGGCCTAGGATGATGCTTCGGCTTTGGTCTAGTGTTTGCCTTGCCCACAGTTCTTTGCTCTAGATCTGCCGTCAAAGCCGCAAGTACCGCTGCAAATGCGTTTGTTGGTCAGCTTGCATGGGCGCCCAGGTTGCGACGGTCTTGACGGATTGACTCCTGTTCTGATCAGTTACAAGGCACAAGTTGCCGTATCCACTGGAAGCCCGATGGGCAAATGCAACAACAATGTCATGGGCATCACTTAATAAGGTGGGATGAGCAAGTACGATATATCTTCCCGTAGATAAGGCTTCCAGCTTGAGACTCCCGCACCTACCTCCATCCCACCTCTTGCGCCGCGTGACACTGCAATTCTGCAACAAGCATTCGACTGAGGCCTAATGCATTCAAGTCCCAGCCTGGAGTCCCAGCTCAATCTTTTGCCCCCCGGAAATCTTAAACTTTGCAACCCTAAACCCCAAAACCTAAATCCTAAACCCTAAAACCTATAAACCTTAACCCCCCAACCCTGAAAGATCCCGAAGCCTTATCCGCCTCCTGAGGCCTTAGCTGTTCGAGGGCTCATGCTGCGAATCCAGCAGCAGATGGCACCCAAGCCTTAAGAAGACAGGGTGCCTATTAAAATTAGACGGGGGTGTTAATTATTCGATCAGGGTTTTTGGGTTATACCAACAATGTCAACAATGGTTAACCCTGAGTCATGATACAGGTCGTTGTTATTTAGGCTTCTATATTGCGTTTAGGCTGCAACTGTCGATCCTGAAGCCATTTATGTTCAGCATTTACCACCATAATTAAGGGATCATGGCCGCGTTTTAACAATTTGCTGTGCGATTTTCGGCATGGTGCTGCGGATTCCTGGGTTTCGGGTCCAAATCTAGAGGGTTTAAATGATTACTAGTACCATTCCTTACGGGTTCCTTAGTATAGATATGCTGTAATTCACAGTTGCATCCGATTCCAAGTATTCAGGGCCCTGTATTATGCAGATGACATAGCTTCTTCGGATCGGATGATTTGAGCTAGGGTCGAAGCCCAAGTGGACATATCAGAGTCAAGGCCAAAAACCTAAAGCCTAAGCCCAAGGCCCTAAGCCCTAAACCCTAAACCCTAAACCCTAAACCCTAAGCCTAAACCCTAAACCCTAAACCCTAAACCCTAAACCTAAAGCCAAGCCATTATAACATGAAGCCAAAGCCGGTCCGCAACTTCTCACTTGAGCCTTGCTGTGCTCCACGTGTTTGCAGCCTTGTCAGCAGGAACTTCTGCAGCGCCCCAATGGCCCCTAAGCCCTAAACCCCTAGACCCCTAAACCCTAACCCCTAACCCCTAACGCCTAACCCCTAACCCCTAACCCCTAAACCCTAAACCTTATCAAACGAGTTTAGGGACTCATGCCAAAGACTGCACCATAGTTCCCTCAACGGTTTGGGCCGTTTTGAGTCTCAGAGTCTTCAGCCAACTGTGGAGCCCTATGAATCCATCGTCTTAGGGCCTAGGGTTAGGGTTTATGGGTTTAAGGTTGAGGATTTACTGCTTAGGGCTTCGGGTTTGGTCGTTTAGGCTTTAGAGCGGGCGCCCCTGAAACCCTAATCCCTGAACCCTAAACCCTAAACCCTAAACCCTAAACCCTAAACCGAAAGCCAAGGCAGAGTTGGATCAGCTCTGCTACCTCGACTCCTGTCCCCGGGCTCCGATCTTCCGACAATCCCAAAGGGCCCTAATAAGTGCCTTTTTGGTAAAACGTAGGGCTTCTTATGGCAGGAATCATAATCGTGATTTGGGCCCTAGGTGCTGTTTTATGGTAGAACGCAGGGTTTCTTATGGCGGGAATCAAAATAGTTGTGATTTGGGCAAGTATTCCCCCATGCCAGTACCTAGGACCCTTTGGGAATGGGTTAGGTACCTGTGTGAGTCTAGAGGTCGATGTTGTGTTGCTTGAAAGGCTTACTGTTTAGAACCGGGTCCTCTAGCAGCAGCAGAGTTGTTTAAGGTTCGGAGGTGTGCAGAGCTCTTGATGTTGGTGCTTCAGGGCTTAAATAATAGATAAAGGGTGTAACTAATGCTTGGAGCTGATTCGGTGGTTGGGCTGGGGTTGGTGGCTTTTTCTGTCGGAGCATGCAGCTCGCTAGAATCCAACATGAAAGTATGAGCAATTACTAATACATAGTGTTCCTTTGGGTTCCTCAATGTACTATAACATACACCGACACCCTATTCCTCCCATAAGGCCCCTATATCGCGAGGAAGTATAGTTCTTCTGGGTTTAGGGTTGAGGGGATTTTGCTAGAAGCCCAGGTAGAAAAACGATGTGTTGCGAAACCTTGCATAATGCCCACGGAGACTCGGTGCGAAGAACAGTTCTTTCTGGCATGGTTCCAGCATGTCTCGGGGGATTTAGGAAGCCTAAACCCTAAACCCCTTCAATGCCCGATCCTTCCGTGCCTCACGAGAACATGAGCTTTTGGACCCGGAGATCCTTCATGGAGCAGATACTGTTGATGATATATATATATATATATCCTGCATTGCCTTAAGGAGCCCTAAACTATGGGAATTATGGTGTGTATATATATATATACATATATATATATATCTATACATATATATATATATACATATATATATATATATATACACATTCGTTTTATGGGTACTGCAGGATTTATATCANNATATCATCAGCCGTAGTTTAGGGTTTCGGGTGTCGGTTATCGGTGAGTTGCATTACTTGATGCGGAACAGCTCATGGGATCGTGAGGTCGAGAGCAGGATGCCTGCCGCGACCTCTACAGCAACATGCACAGCAACATGGAGGCTGGTAATATAGGGGACTAATCCAGAGGGTCCGAGTAGTAGTAGTAGTAGTAGT